TAGAACAATAGCCAACCCTAGTAAAGCCAACACTCCACCCAGGCAAGTGACTGCCAGCACTGATATTCCCCACACCAGACCCAACCCACTCCCTACCAGGCTTTTGGCCCCACACCCTTTGCAGTAACAATGGCAGCTTAGTGAAACAGAACTAAGGTTTAGTAGAGCACCAAGTTTCATTGTTATCCTCCAGCCAGATTTTGGATATGAAAGAGGGACAGACTAGAGAGAGCAAAGGATTGTGATTGAGTTCTGAGTAGCTGAAGTTGCTACTCTATAAAACATTGAAGATTTAAGTATTCATCCACTGTTTTGCTGATAAAAAATTGGTGATACAAAACTCTTGGCTACTGTTATTTCTTTTCACATTTATCAACATCTATAATGTTTATCCTCCCTTTTGGCAGCATATCATGTCAGATTTGCAACAAATAAGGGCTTACTCAACATGTTCATTGTGATATTTTAGTGGAGAGGCTGTTTATTATAGCTCTAGTTCATATTCAGGCTAATCAGGGATCTGCAATGCTATTAGCTTTCAACATAACCAGGGGAAAAAAGGGAAATGATCACTAGATACCACAGCAGGCCTAACAAGAAAAGAATATGGCTGAAGTTGTGCATTCTAAGGAAATTGCATATTACATTTATCTCATTCCATTTAATGAGGAGTTGCTACTTCATTCCTGGTCCATTCCCTATTTCATCTTCACTCCTAAACAGAGCAGTGTAGGGGTTAAACTTTGATGACAAAGTTCTGGAAAATGTATAGAGGTTCCTTAGGAACTTTAGATGTTCCAGAATGGGAATTTGAATGAGAAAGGAGAGGCTTGGATGGAATAGGAAGCTTTCTTTACAAATGTCAAAGTTAGTAGTAGAGTGGGAATAACAGACCAGAAGCAGCTTCACTTGATTATAACTAATTTGCAGTGGGCGGTAAAGGCAGGCACCACGCCAGCATCACCACTTTATAAATAATAAATCTTTCTTTTGTGGTAATGTTGTGAAAGGCACATGGTAAGGTTGCATCAGTATGGTGAAATATCGCAAAATGGGTGGGTCTGTCTAGAGAAGCATCTGTGTTTGTAAAAGGATCATGCTACAAATTACAATCCGGAACACCTTGAATATACAGCATAGCAGTAATCTGGAATGTAACACTGGAAACAAATGCCATCAGCCAGAGATGGCATATATGCTGGTATGTTCTTAACAAAATACTCAAGATAAAGGTATTTGCTGGCACTTTAGCATGTAGTATCTCTGTATTAAAGGAAAGTAGTAAACTGAAAGCATACCTCACTTCTGTTCAAGAGCCAGTTTCACCCGTTTGTGTTGCCTCCTTACAAACAGGACCAGTATAGCCAATAACTGTTCCTTAGGATGCTTTTTGTCATGATAGCAAAGGGATTAAAGTAGAAGCCAGCTGTTAGCTGAGAAGTGGGAACGTTAGGAAATATTTACCTACTACCTCCTCTTTTTCCTAACTACCTGCCTTACCCCACTTCCCAAATGGTAACATTTTTTTACCCCATCCACCTTCAGGGAGATGCTATCAGTGAACCAAATGGCTGCACAAAAATGCTTTTGGTTTTCCTCAGCTGGCCTCTATTAGGTAATTATGCCAAATAAATGAAGCCCTACCAATTTTTCACTACAAGGGAAAAAAACATAGAACGTGTAGCCTTCCAAATTAACACCTCCACTGATTAAAGAACATTGACACACTCCAGATCCTTACATTAACTCTCTCAATCTTGTTTCAATGAAAAGACTCCTAGGAAATTAATAGGAAAATTATGCAAGGGCAGGGTAGTTCATTTTCTGTAGGAATTGTGATTTTACTTCTTAAAGTATAATGGAAATATCTCAAGCAATATGCTTTGGAAATTCATTCTTGAATGTTAACAATTGATTTCTCATTGAAGGAAAAAACTTAGCTGTATCCAACAATTCAGATATGGCGGAAGTGAAGTCAATGTTCCGGGAAGTTCTTCCAAAACAAGGTATCTAAATTACAAATACTTAGGTCACAGAATATTACAGGTACCTAAAAAGTAGTAGGCACATAGGCTAAGTAGCTAAACATCTGTAACTATTTTGTGTCTTGTATGCCACATTTACCATCCACTCTTTTACAAGTATAAAGAACTCATCCACTGCTTTTCCCCCCCGCCCCAGTAAAAGGATAACAAATGAAGCATTGTTCAACCTAGGAATCCTGTTATACTCAAATTTGCAAATTACAATATGAAATTTTCAATGAAAAAACTAGTACTGTAATTCACCATAATGTTAAATATGGTCTGGAAATGGGGAAAAAGAAACCTAAGTCAAGCAATCATTAAGAAAAGCTGACAGTTTAACATTCAGTAGTTAATATAGTAAAAGAATGGTATTAACATGAATATTAAGTATTGTTATGCACTATGTTTTTCTCCTGAATCTTTTTGCACATTAAACATTTGACACAAAATGAGTCGTGTGTCTCATAGGTAGCTTGGAATTTTAGGTACCAAGTTCAAAAAGGCGTCCTTGTGAACTCCCTAGTATTAAATGTTGATATATTTGAAGTAACTGTGAAAACAAAAGATTTTCATTGATAGTGGATTAAGTCTTTAGACTTTCATTCTAGCTGCAAATCCAAACTACCAATCAACTGGGTCATCTCACTCAAATTGTTTCTTTTTAAACTTAGGGCAGCTGTCTGTGGAAGATATAACCACAATGGTGCTGTGTAAACCCAAACTTTTACCCTTAAAATCTCTGACTCTGGAAAAATTGGAGAAAATGCAGCAAGCAGCCCAGGATACAATTCGCCAACAAGAAATGGCAGAAAAGGAACAACAGCAAATAACTCACTGAATGATAATTTAGCACTTCTACAGAATACCCTTAGTATTAACAATAGCTAGAAAATAATTTGCACCTGTATGCTGAGAACAGTGTGTGTTAATAAAACTGATAGTGCTTATACATAATATAAAAATACCCAAGACTAATGAAACTTGTATTGTGAATTTAGACACTGTGGTTTGTATTGAACATAAGCAATTAAAAAAACTTTGAACCCAAATTTTATGGGTTTTTTTTTTTTTTTTTTACCCAAGTTTTTAGAACTGTAAATTATTGTTCACCATTCCTATCAGTCTTACGGGTAAAATTCTTAGGCACAAGTGACTAAATGCAACTCTTATGTTCACAAAATCTTTACATGTTTATTAAAAACTGAATTTGACGATACATTCTAATCTTGTACAAAGCGTTTTGGGGCTTTTACATTACCTAACTTTAAAACTCTTTCAAATTTTGTGTTTCATGTTTAAGGCTATTTTGCCTAACCAACTGATTCTACCAGTAATGACAAAACTAAATAAATTTGAAACCCTCACTTATCCAGTAGTCCCCTGAGCTTTTTGTTTTCATAAAACGTTTTGAAGTTTATTTGTTTTAAGAGAGAATGTGCGAAAGGGGAGGAGCAGAGAGGGAGAGAGAGAATCCCAAGCAGGCTCTGCACTGCACTGCACTGTCAGCATGCAGCCTGACACAGGGCTCAAACTCACGAACCACATGAAGTGTTACCTGAGCAGAAATCGAGTCAGACACTTAACTAACAGTGAGCCACCTAGGTGCCCCAGTCCCGAGTTTTTAATTATACTGACTTTAAGGACTAAGAATTACCTGGCTACCTTTACCATCCAGGTATCAAACACACAATTAAAACTACAGACTTGAAAGAGCCCATGGGATAAATATCAACATTAAATTTGGAGTTTTAATTCTAAAAGGTTTACTTCTAAACCTGCAATGGGCATATTCCTAATACCTTTATAAATTCTGAATATAATTCTTGGCTGGTTGCTACAATCAATAATAGACCATTTAAATTACCATGGACCTTGAGGCCTTGCTGAGTAATCAGGCTCTACAAAAGAGGTTAGAAATGTAATCGTTCTTTAGATAACTGCTATTTATTGGTAGCTACTATTTTCTCAAACACTGGATAAATGTAAAACTTTTTGAGTCACTGAAGAATTTTTTATAACACAAACATTAGCTGGTAACAGAATTTAAGAATGATGAAATTTTAGAAATTTCATTGAGCTTTAGATAAGATCAGAAAATAAGTATGTGTGCATTTCCCACATATAATATTAAAAGAATTTATTTACAATTGTACTTTTGATTTAAAATTTTTTTTAATGTTTATTTTTTGAGAGAGCGTGAGCAGGGGAGGAGCAGAGAGAGAGGGAGACACAGAATCTGAAGCAGGCTCCAGGCTCTGAACTATCAGCACAGAGCCTGATGTGGGGCTCAAACCCACAAACCAGAAGATCATGACCTGAGCCAAAGTTGGATGCTTAACAGACTGAGCCACCCAGGTGCCCCAAGTACTTTTCATTTAAAAGTTTGCAAAGAACAAAGTTTAAATTCACTAGGTTCAAATATGCTCCCTTAGAGGATTTAAAATTTGCTGTGTAAAATAAAAGTTTTTAAAAAGACCTAAAATAAATGTACTCCCAATGAAGAATCAACACTGCTTCACATGTTTTATTTTGTCATACATTCTTTTAGAACCAGGTTCATTTTTCCAGTTTTGTAGAAAAATAGATGTTCCAGCCACCATTTATTTAACTGTCTAGTCTTTGAGACCAATCAATATGTTCCCTGGAAAAATGAATAAGTCTTATGACTAACTCATTTTCTTAAAATTCTTTAAGACAAAGAAATAACTTTTTTTTTTTTTTTTTTTTTTTTTTTTTTTTTTTTTTTTTTACTCCCAAAGCACAGTATTCCAACAGCAGCAGCCAACATGGGGTTTTAGCAGCTTAACTTCACCCCCTAAATAAAGCTTTGTATAAACCAGTGATTTTACTACAAAAACACTGTCCTTGAAAGAAAGGATGTGGCAGTCAGACATCAATGCAAAACTTGGAATGATTAGGTCATAAACATGGCACTTACAAAAGGTAGCTTATGAGAATATTCCACTTAAGAAGTGGTTACTCTTCTGTCCCTCCTTTACACCCTCAAAAAAACAAAAATACGAAAGAATGAAAAAAGAAAACACTTCCTTTAAAAATTCCCCTTAAATTGTAAGTTTATAAAATTTCAGAAATGCCTTGTACCCAAAACAAGTGCTTCAAAAACAAAACAAAACAAAAAACCTGTGCTAACAACTCTTACAATTCAGATATATTTATATATTTTAGAACATCTAAGACTGTAAGAGTTCTTATATTCAGTAGCTCTCTGGTTTAAGGCGACCTCCATCTCCTTCACTTACAAAACGTTTTCTGCCCCTGTAATGAAAAGAACACAAACATGAAAATGGAGATCAATTCTATCTATAAACAAACAAACAAAAATCTTGGGTTCTTTTGGTTAGTCATTAGGTTTTGAAGGGTTCTGTTTAAAAAAAAAAGTGAGCATGCCTCTAATCCTTTTGAAAAAAGACTCTTTTCTTGCTATGTATCCTAGGAGGTAGCAAATCAAATGAACTGTTAATGTTAATCCAAGCAGTTTTTAGTTAAATAAGAGCTTAATTATTGAATAAGTTCATTGTCAAATGGAGTCATGTAAAAGAAAAGTTAAAATATAAGGCAAACATGCTTTTTGGAACTTCAATATTTACTTCTCTGAGTATTATTTGAAAGCTAAACAGTGAGACAAAGAGACACCAACATGATTTGGAATTATGCAAATTAAAGCTACAGAACCTATGAAAATATCCACATTAAAAATTTTGTTTTAACTTTTTCTCAAATCTAGAAAAGCCGTAACCTGAACATGGAAAAATCAGAATCCAATTAATTCCTGTCTATGCCCCATTTTGGGATTCCTGCTATTTTTTTTTTTTTTAATGTTTATTTATTTATTTCGAGAGAGAAAGAGAATCCCAAGCACGGGATTCATGCTATCAGCACACAGCCCAACATGGGGCTCAATCTCACAAACGGTGTGAGCATGACCTGAGCAAAACTCAAGAGTTAGACGCTTCACTGACTGAGCCACCCAGGTGCCCCGGGATTCCTGCTATTTCAAAATCAAGAGGTCTTGCTTTATAATGTAAGCACACTTATGCTGTATGTAGCCAAACACAGTAGCTATGTACAGCCCAGGAGAAATATTTGACCAGCAGCCTAAAGCAGTAAGTGGAAAACAGAGTTGTCCAGGATTAGTCCTCATTTTCTGACCCTAGACCAACATGCACAAGCATTCAACACCACACACAAGTGTGCACTTCACCCAAATAGGCTAATGGATAGAGGATAAAAAGTCAAGGTTCTATAGCATACAGTAAAAATTTAGGTATCTCCCTCAACTGATCCTTGAGGGTAAAGCCACAATAAAAATGACCATTTAGACTTCTGAACAGAGGATGAAAAACTTAAAAAGCCAGTGCCAAGGTGTTGACCCCTTTTCACACGAAGTCTAAGTGGAAATCAGCTACTTTTTCTGGCATATACAGGCTTCAGACTGTAAATATAAGGAGACTGAGATGCAGAACAAAGCAGTAAGTAGCAAGAACCCTTGCCAACATTGGCAGTATTTACTGATGTATACAACTTGGCACATAAATGATGCCATCACCAAGCACAGAGAGAGATTTTGGAGATGGATATTTGCAAACATTTTTATCAAATCCATTAAAGAGTATCTTCCTCCTCTTCTCTCAAAAGCTTCTAAACTTTCTAGAGCAACAGACACTACCAAGAACTATTTTTCTGAGATTTAATTCTCACAATGCACTTAAAAGAGACAAAGCTTTGCAATTTTTTCAGTTTAAAAATTACAAAAAGTTAAAATTTACATAAAACAGACACACACAGGCCACCCAGGTAGCCTCAGGTCAGGATCTCACGGTTTGTGAGGTCATGCCCTGTGTCGGGCTGTGTGCTGACTACATAGAACCTGCCTGGGATTCTCCGTCTCCCTCTCTCTCTATTCCTCCCCTGCTGTCTCAAAAATAAACAACATTAAAAAAAAACAAAACAGATATACACAAGTTTAGCTATTACTAACATTTATACCTATTTATTATAAACTTACATTATAAGCTTTATTTTAACCACAAAAAAATTCATCAACTCCTAAAGAGTTAGATCCTAGTAGCACAAATACAGTATCTCCAAAGAATCACACACATATACTTTCTAATGAGATAAGACCCAATTAGCCTCAATTCTCCATTCTATGAAGGAATAAAAGGAAGCTACATGGAGTAAGGAATAGCCTATATCTTGGAAGCCAGAAAAGGTCTGGATTCATCCTTACCCTCTACTGTGTGTGAACTTAGAAAATTTCAATTACATCTCCTTAAACCTTAATTTTCTCATCTCATTGGTGATAATATCTACTCTGAAATATTTCAACTACTTAGAACAGAGCCTGGTACACAGAACTACTACACAAAATTAGTTTCCTTCCAGTGAAAAGGGGCTTCATGAAGTAGCCCTGTATAAATTTTACAAGGGGGTAAAATAAGCTTTGCCCTAGTTTTTCTATTAACTCAAAACTCATGATTTTCACTCTTGAGTGGCTTCAGGGGAGATATTACTTTTCTGACAGAATTCCAGAATTTTTCTGGAATGACAGAAAATCAGCTTAGCCTTTCCAAGCACCTCAGCCAATATTTTATGCGGAAAAAAGTAATAAAATACCTTGAAGGACAAAGATCTCTGAGTTGTTTGGAAATTATTCCAGCCTGAAAACATTCTTCTACAAATCGTTCAAGCACAGAGTATGAATGTGGGACATCCAAATTAATGTCTGGAATTTCATTGTAAATTCTCTCATAACCCTAAAACAATGAAATTATATACAGAATTGTTAGCCCATATAAAGTACATAATGCCATATGACCCATCACTGTCATCAAACGACATTTAAAGACCAAACATTCGTAAAATTAGACTGAAGTCAGATCTGATCTTTGAAAAGTATAGACAATATTTGTCATAGAATGTTTTCTTTAAAATTTTTCTCTTAAAAGAGTTCAGGCGGACATCAGACACTGGACACATTTCTTCATCTGTATACATTTAGTACACTTTTTAAAACATAAGGCAAGTAAGCATCTCACCAATATCTTAAATAGGAATAAATTAAATACTTTAAAGAATATTTGTTAAAAGATCATGTTCATGTTTGTCTCTAGATACAAAATAAAAACTATCATATCTTAAAAATAGAACTCTTGAGGAAGAACAATCACATCTTTAAAAAAGACAGGGAAAAAAACTCAATGAAGTGTTACTTTCCAAGAAATCAAACATAATCACAACCATTAAAAAAAAAAAAAAAACTATAGGCACAATACTATTTAACATACCTAAAAGAATATTTCATTGACAATTCATAATATGTATTCAATTATTATACATTTAAGGTAGAAGCCTAAAAATTGTTCAAAATAATGTTATACTTACTCTTTTCATTTGGTCTAGAGTAATGGTAGAAGATTTCCAAAGAGATTTTAATAAATTCAAAATCATCTTAAATGCACTTTCTCCAGTTGACTCTAAAACCATTACAATAGCCTAAAAATTGAATGAATGAATAAATGAATGAATTTTTGGTCATTTAAATTTATATAAGAAACTGCTCCTAAAATGTATCAGATCCCTTTTGTCTCATATGTAATTATAATCATTATAAAAATTTAAAAACAACTTTCTCCCTTAACATTAAAATTTTTTAAAAGAATAAAAATAGATGTACACTATTAAAGAACCATTAAGTCACTGTGGTGCAAAAAGGAATACTTAATAATAACTCTCTTTGGAATGTCAAAGTAATCTTACTTCATATACAAGCTCATGGTGAAAATGAGGTACTTCCAGTTCCTTAAGGCAATGTTCAGCTTCAGATATATCTCCAGAGAGTAAATACTCTTTCAGCAGCATATCAATCTATTAAATTTAAAAATTTAGATGTATTAGAATTCCTAATTTTTTTTTTTTTTTAAACTGTGCTTTCTGCCTATAGGATTTACTTACTCTCAAATAGCAGGTCACCAACAGCTGTGTAAGAACATACAGACTTGACACAACACTATCATAACAAAATTTTTTTCATAATTAAAAAGTAAATCCCCAATTTTTACAGGGCTGATAATTATAAAGAAAATGCAGCGCTTCAGTGTGCCTTAATAATCACTGAGATCTATGACTAGACTTAACCTCAGTTGTGACCATAATACTTCAATGCTCACTGTAAAACAAGGGATTTTAAAGACCACTAGAGGGCACTGGCTGAAAGTCTCAAAATATATTTTTACAGTGTCACAAACTTTCACTTCCATCAGGATGACCTTAATAGTCACTGGAAGCCAAAAAATGATGATAATAGAGCTTTACTAGACAGGGCAAAAATATCCATACAGCTTCTCTTTTCTCTTCAAATAGGATTTGAAACCTATTATCTAAGATGTTCATCTGGAATTCAGTTTCCAGTTGTAACTAAAGAGGCAAGTCTTGACTTTCTTGTTCAAATACAGTAACATCTATGGCTCCAGAGAAAAGGAGGAAAGTTTTCCAGCACAAGAACTTCAAACAAGAATGTTCTTCCCTATACATGGCCTGTTAAAATCACCTTTGCACCTAGTGGACACTCAATGAATGTTGGCTCACTTAATTAAATAATCTCATTTAAGTTATCTTTGACTTCCAACTTCTGCAATGTATTTAATAAAGGGTAAAGTAAAATTTGATCAACAGAATACATACCGATGATACTGATACATACTGAATAATATCTATTATCATGCTTTAGAAAAGTAAATATTTAGGGGCGCCTGGGTGGCTCAGTCAGTTAAACGATTGACTCCTGCTCAGGTCATGATCTCACAGTTCGTGGATTCAAACCCTGCATCGGGCTCTGTGCTGACAGCTCAGAACCTGGAGACTGCTTCAGATTCTCTGTCTCCCTCTCTCTCTACCCCTCCCCTCCTCGTGCTCTGTCTCTCAGAAATAAAATAAACATTAAAAAAAAAAGTACATATTTAAAGCATGGCATTTGAATAAAGTGTTTTTACTTTATAAATGTAAATTAATAAATTTATTATTTAAATTATATCACTTACAGTTTTTTAACTTTGTTATAGAACTTGAAGTATTTCAATGTTTCCCATCAGGCTCCATGCATTTTTTGAGAATGATAAATTATAAATACATACATATACATTTCTAAAAGTCCTCTTTGTCCAACTCATCCTTCCATGTAAAAATAAATGAATACCCAAATAATGTCAACCTCAAACTCATATTGGTAGTTCTATTTCCATTTCTATCTTGACTATTTTTTCGTTGAGATAATTCACATAAAACAGTTTGGCACTTTCTCAAAAAAATAATTTTGGGGGAATATTACCATCATTTTTTTTAAGTTTATTATTTTTTTAGTAATCTCTACACCTAACTTGGGGCTCAAACTCACGACCCTGAGATCAAGAGTTGCAGCTCCTCCAACTGAGCCAGGCAAGCACCCTAAGTGTTATCATCTTAATATTAAGTCTTCCAATCCATAAACATAGGATATCTGGATATCTATTTTAAGTTTTAATTTATTTCAACAATGTTTTGCAGTTTTGGTGTATAAGAGTTGCACTTCTTTTGTTAAATTTAGTCCTAAGTATTTTGATATTTTTTATTCTATTGTAAATGCAATTGTTTTCCTAATTTCATATCATTCGTTGCTAGTGTACAGAAGTAGAATTGAATACTGTATATTAATCTTATATCCTATAATCTTGCTGGATTCATTTATTAGTTGACAGTTTGGGGTTTTTTTGTTTTTTGTGGATTCATTAAGATGTTCTGTATACAGATCATGTCATCTGGGAATAGAGATAGTTTTACTTCTTCCTTTCCCATCTAGATGCATTTTATATCATTTTCTTGCCAAAATGCCATTATCTTGACTGTTTTTATACCTCAATCTTCCTAACCACATGACATTTTTTTTGAAAGCAGATATTATAATCATGACATTATCTATCCTAAGATATATAAAAGCAAACTGGTCAAAAATCTATAGTTTAAGCTCCTTAACACTCAAACTAGGTACACATATCATTAAAAGATTAAGTATCAAAACTATAGTCACATGAAAAGATTATACTCAAAAGTCAGAAGTACATGAACTGTAAGACTTCTAATTTTCTTAATAATCTGCAAGTAATGGGGCGCCTGGGTGGCTCAGTCGGTTGAGCGTCCGACTTCAGCCCGGGTCACGATCTCGCGGTCTGTGAGTTCGAGCCCCGCGTCAGGCTCTGGACTGATGGCTCAGAGCCTGGAGCCTGCTTCCCATTCTGTGTCTCCCTCTCTCTCTGCCCCTCCCCCGTTCATGCTCTGTCTCTGTCTCAAGAATAAATAAATGTTAAAAAAAAAAAAAATTTTTTTTTTAAAATAATCTGCAAGTAATATGAAGTACTTTTTCTGGTTTCTTGTTATAGAACATTACTGCCAGAAAAAAAAAAATCCATAGAGAATAAATCTGGCGCTTTAATGAAATAAATCAATTACTTTAAAGCATGCACACAAATAGTGAACTTCCTTACAAAAATCGACCACTCTGATCTACTCTAGTGTTCATAATTCCTAACTTATGATCTAAGAGTATCCAGTTTCAAATTGCTCATATAAAAATGTAGTTACTAGGGTGCCTGGGTGGCTCAGTAGGATGAGCATCTGACTCTTGATTTCGGCTCAGACTGTGATCCTAGCGTCATGGATCGAGCCCTGCATTGGGCTCTATGATGAGCAGAGAGCCTGCTTAAGATTCTTTCTCTCCCCCTGCCCCACTGCCCTCCTCCCTGTCTCATACTCTTTCTCTATAAAATTTTTTTAAATGTATTTATTGAATAACTACAAAATAGAAAGTCTTATGTTGACAGTACTTGAAAAATTTTAACTACTACAAGAAAATACTTCAGGCATTCCTCTCAGGTTCAAATACAGCATTCTTATGAGAGCTCTTTTAATTTAACACAGTCTTTTTTTTTAGTCAGGGAAGCCATAAAAATTTAATAGTAATTATATAATTATTGTATAATTTATAGCACCAGGGAATAAAGCCAAATACACAAAGATTATCCAATTTTCCATTTATAGCTTTAAGACAGAACTTAATTTTTATCCACAAAAATACTAGCTAGAGGGCATAGTTTACTTCCCCTGAGGAATACATGTATATTAAGTTAAAGACAATACCCAGTAGTTACCTCTTTAACAAGGTGGTTAACAGACTGCTGCCCACCTCCAGAGCCCCACACACTGTCTTTGCGCTTTCCACCTTTAGACATACTCAGAAGCACAGTAGCCTTGTCCAGAGCAGCTCTACCAGAAATAATAACAACAATAATAATTTTGACATCTTAGAAATGCTTCAGGTTGACCTAAAAGCTTTCACGTAACCTAAAATCAATCTAAAATTCAAAATCTAACCTTATTACAAAATAATTGATCTACACTGAGTGGAAACATGTCACATAAAACTTAACTTTTACATAGTTCTGCACCTTCCCACCAGGGCAACCATTCCATTCTGACCTGAAGTAGTCTTAGAAATTTAAGTTAACATCTACACCTGAGCAAATCTAAGACATGGCACTGACTAAATTTAAGTTTCCAGGAAGTTACAAAAAACCATACGGCATGATTCCCAAATATCACATTTAGCTTAAAATTAATTATAACAAAGAACAAGAGTGAAAACATTATTTCCTAATATTTCTGTAGCAGATAAATATAAAATAAAATTGAAAACGGGGCTCCTTTGTTAATACTGTCCATCTTCTTAGAATATTAAATAATTACAGAATGTGAAAACCTGAACAGAGCTTAAAGAAACATTCTCAGTCAAACCCTTCATTTTTATAAGTAAGGAAACTGAGGCCCAGAGAAAAGCGGCTTGACATAAAGGTAGCTAATGGCTTAGTTAAAATCCCAAACTTCTACATTACAGTATGTCCTCTTCCTATTACATCATGTCAACAATCTCTCAATTTTTTTAACAGTGGAGAATATATACAAATGACAAACAGATGTCCACAATGTCTGATTAATTCAAATATCATTTCAATAAAATGCTGTAGAATTTTCCCCAATTTTGAAATTCTAATTAGGAAAATTAATTTACTTACCTAGCCTGTACACAGTCTACAGTTCCTTTGTAACTATCAATATAGGTATTACATAAAATTCCATCTCCAACAGCTCTAGCAATAAACTGGCCAACCAACTACAAAAAAAAAAAAAAAAAAAAAAAAAAAAAAAAAAAAAAAAAAGCTACATAAAAAAATCTAAAATGAAACTCTATAGGACACAATTTCTAATACATAAACGATAAAGACTGGCTGGACTGCAGAATCAATAACTAAGACATGTTGGAACACTCAAACATCTATCTAGCACCTGCTAGTTATGTTTGACATACATTCCCACATCTTAACCTCCAAGGTAACTACCCATTGGGGGGGTGGGAAGGACACATATCAGTTTTGCTCACTACTGAATCCCCCAACACCTTGCACACTGCCTGAAACACAGTACATAATCAAAAACGCTTGTTAAGCCAGTGACCTAAATTTAAGAGAAAACTCTCTTCTGGAAATAAAAAAAAAAAAAATGGGACTAGGTTTTCTCAAAAACTGTCTGATTAAAGGAATTTATTGTATGGAGAAAACACTGTGTAGAAATTTCTATCTGAAAGTATATTCATAGTGTTATTTTGTTTTGTTTTGTTTTTAAAGTAGGCTCCATACCCAGTGTGGGGCTCAAACCCACGACCCCCAGACCAAGTGTCACATGCTCCACCGACTAAGCTTGCCAGACGACCCTATGCATAACATTATTTCTTTTCTTTTTTTTTTTTTTTTTACATTATTTCTTATAAAAACTGGAAACAACTTCAGTGTCCAACAATAAAGGTGTGGTTACATGATACATACAATGGGGGTCATTAGGAAATACATTTACTACTTTTTATAGTGTAAGAAAAATCAAGTTTACAAAACAGCACATACAGTATAATTCCATTTCTTATTAAAACAAAAATGCAAGGATATACAAAAACCATACACTGATAAACATCCACAGAAAGTAAAAGAGATTTAACACCAAAATGTTTAACAGTTAACACTGGTTATTTCTGCTGGCTTTTCTTCATTTTGACTTTATTTTTCAGAAATTCTATAATATGAACTTATGTAATCATTTTTTTAACATATGAGTAGTACTGGTATAAAAAGGAAAAAAAAGTCCACGTTTGAATCATAGCTCAATACCTTATCAGACTACTGTCTGGCATAGAAAAGAAACAGCATTTAGGAATTAACTTATACATATATTCCTAAATTAATGTTTAAGTGCTCCTGCCTTTTTAAAAAATTTTAATGTCTATTTATTTATTTTGGGGGGGGAGCGGGGAGGACAGAGAAGAAGGAGATAGAGAATCCCAAGCCATCTCCAAGCTGTCAGTGCAGAGCCTGATGCAGGCTCAATCCCACAAACCATGAGATCATGACTTCAGCCAATATCAAGATTCAGATGCATAACGGACTGAGCCACCCAGGTGCCCCAAGTGCTCCTACCTTGACTTAAAACTCTGGTCAAGTAAACAGAAACAATTTCACACATTTTTAATTTCAAATCAGAAAGTCACATTATACTATCAGCATGTATTGAATCTAATAAATACATAAGGCTTTGAGATCAGAATCTAAACAGAAACATAAATCATAAATTTTCTAATAATTTTCCCACAAAGCTACAAAGGGGAACAGACTTATTTATGATTATTTTTATAATAAACATCAGTCAAGCCAATTCAATCTTCAATTATAACAATCTACATATTTTTTAAATTCTAGATCATACAACAGCTTAACCACATATAATAGAGAATATACAAGCAGCAAAAAAACAAAACAAAAAACAAAAGACCTACAAACTATACAGAGCATGGGTGGAAAAGCAGGATATAAAATTACAGTATGAGGGGCGCCTGGGTGGCGCAGTCGGTTAAGCGTCCGAC